ATTTGGTTACCCTCAGCAGCGGTAATATTTGACGTAACCTGCTTAGTATTAGACTTGACCGTAAAACACCATATACTTCCACTTACGCTTCGCACATAATTGAATATGGCTGACAGTACAGCATCAGGTGCTGGCACTTTAGGGTACAATGCGTTGTGAACACTGTCGTCATGCTTGAGCACCTCACGATACAAGTATTCACTAAAATGAGGGGCTCTGTTACACGTCAGAATGTGCCGTGACTAGAATAGGAAGGGGTAACGCACATAGGAGCCAGTAGTAGAGCCTGCAGCTCAATATACCGCAGCACAAGATGCTGATGCATGCTGATGCCCACAGACTTGGTGATGTCTCGGTACCAGTCTCGAGATGCGATCTAGCCATTTTATTAGTATTGAAAAGGTTGTCGAGGTCTTTTTCTTCACTCACAAAGTCATAGAAGCCTGACTTAAGAGCAAGCTTAAACGAGGTATCAATGTAGAATGACTTGGTCTGCGCGACTAGAATATTTATCTCGTTCAAGAACAGCTTGTCAAAGAGACCTAAGTCGCCAGTTCTGAGATCAGAATCGTTGGCAGATTCTTGACACCATTTCCTCAGCTCATAAAGCCGAAGGATCGTTGCATTAGCGACGGTCTCTTCGAGATTTGCGTCTTCGATTCCGTCGCCGCCATCTGCTAGAGAACTTTTTCAAGATCGGAAAGTCAGCATAGTCTGCTCTTGGCAAGTGATGCAGAAACTATGGAAACATGCGCAACGGCAAGACGAAAATGTCTCCAAATCATCGGAAATTGACCCCTATCTTCGGCTGAAATAGTTAATCAGGACTATAGGTACTCACATTCTCGTAGCGTCAGCTCCATATTTTTCAACAGCATCTCGTAGAGTCAAGAAGTTGCCCGTGCTCTTGGACATCTTTTCGCCATTCAACATGAGGTGTCCGTTGACCCTCACCCCACGGGGCCAATATGGCTCGTCGAAGAGAGCGACATGGTGGTAAAGGCAGAACATTAGGCTTTAGCATCGGCAGTCAGTCAGTCATAATTGTCTAAAACTACAAAGAGCTCCGGAAGATAAGTCAAGCCATCAAAGGACTTTCCCTTGGGATTACTCACTGATTGTTGATCAAATCCTTTCCCGAAATCCGCACGTCAAGAGGATACCAGTAGGAAAATTCGCGTCTCATAGCATCGAGGTCGGAGCGAGGTATATCGCTGTCAATGTGGTCTGTCCTTTTAAAGACGTAGTCCCAGACTCCATCCGTCATTTGCGAGGGAGATATGGGCTTGGATGATAAGCCGGGGCCTTTTCCGTAAATACTACATTACTAGGTCAGGAACCGCTCCTCGTGCAAATGTTCAATTGGTATCGGTGATATATGACTAGTGAGGTAAATCTAGCAGTGGGAGATTTTGACTCTAATAGTAGTCAAATTGGAAGGAAAAAGCCTAGGATATTACTCACTCGCCGTGTAGATAATGGCAAACGGTGTAATACGCCATATATATCGTAGAATCCTGTGAAGATCAGTAAGATGTTGATTTAGAAACGCCTGGTTTCAACTTACAGACAATGACTCTACAAGCTGGGTGTGATCCCAGGGGAGTTTAGTACCCTGATGAGCATTAGTAGTTGTCTCATGAGAATATGAACACATCCTACCAGTCCAAACGACCGGGAACAGGCCCATTGCGCTAGCCTAGAATATTACTGTTAATGGTAGTCAAAGTATTGCAATAATATGGAACATACCAATTCAGTGCCTGCTTCATCGCATGTTTTCCCTCTGGATAGAAGCAATTGGTCCGATCCGTCTCAACGGCAGTAATCGCATCTTCATACCACCTTTGGTCGCCTCCATTTTCGCCAGATCCTAAAGTTATCAGCGAATGGACGAAACAATAAACCAAGTAGCTTACCGTAATTAAAATACCATTGATCGAGGTATGCCTACATGTACATTAGTTTAGTCGATTGTAGAGTTACAGTTCAACGTACCGCAACGCACTCATCACCGGATCGCTGTAATATTTCGGAATCAGTAAACCGTTTGGAGGTATCAAGAGTTGGATAGATAATCGAGGGAGATTTCTTACGCTGATGACGAGCCCGTCTGGCTCACCGTAGTTGAAAGCTAATCCTGAATCTAACAATTGTTTCTTGACCAATGGCTTGGCATCCTGCACGGACATTCCTTTGAATTCACCATACAACATAACACCAGAATAGAATCCTTCTTTGTAGGCGATTTCCTTCGCCTCGGGTAATTTTTGGTCCTTTGGCGAGTTGATCTTCATCGTTTCGTAGAGGTGCTTTGCGATCCTAGGAAAGGTAAGCATCACGCGAAACAGCAGCAATTCTGTACTGGGGTGGCACGTACAAGTTTGAACTGGGCGTTTGAATAATAGGCAGAATCTCTTCCACCACCCACTCTTTTTGAATTCCATAGAACTCGGGCTTCTTAATGAGGTCCAATGTAGTAGCATAATCATCTGGACTGTCCGAGGGAACACAGGTAACCACTCCAGTTCCTTTCGTTGGTTTTACAGTTGACATTGGTAGGATTCTGATGCCCTTTTCGTGGATTGAGAGTGGAGCATGGACGATGGTTCCAACAACGTCGGAACCTTTTAGGCCGACTACTTGGTGATACTCGCCCCATGCTGAAAAGATGTCCTGGAATGCCATCTGCTTTCTGTTAACATTCCGATCCGGATTATGAAGCACTTCTCTCTGGGGGTTCCCGGGATTTTCCCCTATGTTTCGCTACATAGTGAAACCTCTGGTTACTTACTACAAAAATAGTTAGTAGGGGCCACCATTAATTGTTCGTGAGGGAGAGACTTCGGCTTAGGACAAACTGTTCTCATACGTACCATTTCTAGCAGAGCGTTCACTGCAGAAGAAATACTCATCTTTTCCTCCCTCTTTCGGTACTCGAAAGATGCCATAGTCAACCGTCGGGCCTACGAAGCAACATGTCTGATTAGGAAGTGGAGTTAGCGACGGCCGTTTGTGAATACGCACTATGGAAATTAGGAGCGCAATCAAAGATTCCAAAAGGAATGAGCGCTCAGGCCAGTAACCCTCGTCGCTGACAGACGCAGGAATAAAAAGCCCCAATACTTACTTGGCCATACATGGTTTCCGGGCGAAGTGTAGCAGGTATGAAGTACACGTTTGCACCCGCAGGGATCTTGTCGCCGATGATCTCCTGAGCTTTGTCACACCATTGGAGTGTCTTGAGCTTCAAGGCGACGTATTCTTGGACGGCAATGCCCTCTCCACTACTTCGGTCATGGTCTAAGCACGCCTGACCATCCTTGGGCGAATATACAGTAAAGCGCTTGCCGAACTTGATCTTCTTGAGAGCTTTCAGATTGTTCATTTGCCAGCTCACGAAGGAATCGTAGAAGGGATTCGCGTCGGTTGTGACAAAGGATCTCCGCCAGTCCACACGCGCACCAACTCTCCTTAGATCTGCTTCGCAAAGTTGAGGGAAGACTTGCAGCCAATGATATGGGTCGGCAAACTTGTGGATTTCCTCGATAGGAATACCAAGAGACAGCATAATCTGTGTTCTTGTCAACCCGTGCTCACCAGATCGACGCGTACTTCAGGCGACAAACCTCGTACTGATACTTGGCCTTACCCGACTTGGCAGCGGCCTTGCTCTTACTTCCACTGAACTTGCTGATATCAGTCTTGCTCGCGCTGGGCGCCTCGGCGATCGACAGCTGCTCGAGCTCGGCGGATGGGGCATTCTCGAAGTTCTGGCCAAACATCTCGCTTTCGCGCTTCAGCTTGTCCGCCGCAGCCTTGATGGGCATGCCCGTACAATGGTAACCTTGAGGGAACAGAGCCCTTTGGCCTTGCATACGCGCGAAACCTGTCATGAATTCGACTCTGTAAGATAACGCAAGAACAATTAATATATTGGAAGCATGTTGCGGCGAAAGTAGGTGTACTTACTTGCTCCATGTAAAGGCATGTCCGGCATGTAAAGTACCTAAGACGAAATAAATTCAGCCGTTCAATGCCTTTCCCCGTTGCGACAGAGACTCACCGTTCATGTACTATCCCCAGCCGGATGTCAGTAAACACCGCAGAGTACGAGGGATGTGAGAGGACTCGAATATGCGTACTGGGTATGCCATTGTCGCGAAGAACTTGGGCGGTTTCGGTTCGTCAGCTGCCGGGGCATCCTGTTGGAAGATCTTGAGATCGTCCCATAACTTTTGATATCGCAGTTCGTCGGCGATCAGGGTGTCGCGTTTCTCGGTCTATTGGACGGGCAGGTTAGTCGGCTGAGCGTGGCCGCGGTGGGGATGTGAAGGGGAGGTGTCGCCGCACGTTTTCCATCTTAGGAACGGCCTTGGTGGCCGCAATCTGGTCTGTCGTCGCCATCTTGTCGCGCGGTTTAGTCAGACGACGTGAAGTCCGGTCAGGTCGAAACGGCTGATGGTGACTCGAAAAAACCTGTGGTGGCTCTTCTGAGGTGGGATGGTGGGGCACTGCCTTCGGGCACCTGTGTAGTACATTGGCACTAATGGCGGGGTAAAACATAGGTATTTAGGTACCCTATCTAGACCCTTCATCTAAATAAAGTATGAGACAGATACCTGTATAGAATGGAATGCTGGGACCTACGCGCAGCTACGAAGCCTACCTATTTATTCTACTATCTAGCTGATATTCACGCTTGTGCCAAACCTCAGCTGTCGCCTTGATGTCGGCTTCTCGAGCTTATAGCGTCACTCGGAGATTTAATATCATCTTATATTTAAATATAGTTGTTCTTAGTTCACAACTTACTCCTTTTCAGGGTAACTAGCACCTACCTAAGCAGGAGCATAAATGTTTAATTCAACGCTTATAACACCTTGTTATAGTTATTGAAAGCAGAATACCCGTGTGTTCCTTGCACAAAGCCCATGAGAGAGAGATGGGAGGGAAATGAGCAAGGAAACAAAAATAGAGAGAATATAGAAAAAATTCATCTCCGAATCGGGGAATCGAACCCCGGGCTTGACGGCACTTTTCTACATCTTACTCTTTGTACAAAGAGGAGAGGCGGATGAGAGCGTCAAATGTTAGCCACTACACCAATTCGGAGTCGGTTACTGCTGACAGCATGAATCGAACATGCGTTTGCTCGGCCACAACGAGCTGTACTAACCACTATACGATGCCAGCTTTGGTTGAAAGAATCAATGCATCAGCCGTGAATCGAACACGGGGCCCATCGATGGCAACGATGGATTTTACCACTAAACCACTGATGCTTTGGTGTTGAGATTGTCCGCCCTATACCCCCACTATAGCCATCCAACGGAAAAGGTCGGGCGGGACACTAGGAGACTGTAGTCAGAGTCCTGCTGCGCACTATCTAGACTACAACACATACACCCGACATGCATCTGAATAGCACACAGACGCCAAATCAGCCTCAACCATGATCTCTTTTATACAGATGATGTAGGCTAGGTATATAGTGAGTGTTAGATTTGGTATTGGTATCTGTTAGAATACTCTTACATCCACTTGTTCTTACATCCACTGGTCAGCATAGGTTCACTTCCGACCTAACCGCCGAGTCACGATCGTGGCCGTCTGTGTGTCTTAGGTGATCTAGGAGATCTATCCGTCGTATAACAACCAAGTTTCTTGAATAGCATCATTATACAAGGGGTGTTGGATCGGAGGACGTCATTCGACATACCGAGTCATCGCCAGGCAGTAAATGAGACCACAGGCCAGCCTCATCCTACATCCTGTTTTCCTCGTGGCTTAGTTGCCGACTTTCAAGACTCAGCAGAACTCGAGACATTTTGTACATCATCTTCATACGAAAGCTCTGGGAAATGAGAGGGACTGCTCAGTCACAGCAAACCCGGGGCTCTCAGTTCCTAAGGACGAGAGTTAGTGATTCTCGTGAAACGCTTATTGTAATTATGTCCTGGTGAACTCACCGACTCCATTTCTAGGTTCAAAGGTGTTTTCAGAGTATATAGCCTCCTAGTTAACGACATGACGACTGGGATGGAAATTTCATGAATCTCGCGTGGAATGCGCCCGGTCAGGCAAGTAACGTGTACCACTCCTGTCGAACATTATATTCCCATCCCGAATAGCATTACCATCACAACGTAAAGGACGCCGCTTTAAAAATCTTAACCTTGCTAGTTAACAGCCCCGGGAACACTAGAGTTCGGCACCCGCATCGCTTTTGTCAGAGCCGCAGGCAACTAATGATGCGCACTCAGCATTTTGTTCCGGTTTCCCCGAGGTCGGATTGTCGGCCAATCAATCAACAGCATAGTAGATACAAGTCAAAGGGGAATTGGACCATAAGCTAGATAAGGCATTGACATTGACGAAGCAAGTTACTCAGTCGGCTGACTATAAGCACAGGTATCCACGAATGGCTTGAAATAGCATAGCAACACGGAGGATCTCTTTGTGGAGCGAGCATCCTTGGTCTTATTTATTGCTTTTCCCTACCTACCGTATTCGATCCCCGTGCTAGTGAAGATACGGCTAGTCACTGCCGTATCTTGGCGGGTGAGACTTTTCAAACCACAATGAATAATTCTGATTTCACTGAGCTAGTTATTCCATGATCGTCTTATTAGTGCCTCGTTCGCTAAGGACGTCGCCTTGTCCTTTTGTTTGAGAACCGGAGATCATAGTACATTTTGATAATGAATTGAGTTGTGATCTTACGATTCTCACCCTCTGGACCCTAGCGTCAGCTTATTACCCGTGTCATGGAGTCAAAATGGCTCAGCATCACGCTTGGGGCACTGTATTTCAATGTTGCTTGTGCCTCAAGTCTTCCATGTAATGTGGCCAGTTTCGAGTCACTCTTGGAAACTTTGAAAAGCCCTGCAACTACGGTTATTTACGCAACGAGGATTCCAGCCGGCGGATCTTCATTTGATCCCAGCCCAGAATATCCTGCCAATGCCACCAACTTACCGCAGCTATGCGCCATCAAGCTTAATGTCAGGTCATCCGACACCACTTCGTATAACATGGGCGTTCTTGTTCCAGGCCAAGATCATTGGAATAATCGGCTGATGACTACTGGGAACGGCGGCTTTGGGGGAGGAATCAACGTACGCATCCCCTGCTTGAATGTTTGGGGCACAGCTGACAACTAGCAGTATCCTGACATGGGCGAGTATACTCACTATGGGTTTGCGACTGTATCAACAGACACTGGCCATCTTTCGGATATTGAAGACAGTTCGTGGGCGCTGAATAATCCGGACAGCATCATCGATTGGAGTTATCGTGCCCTACATGGGTCGGTCAACCTGGCCAAACAGATTGTTTCGGCTTACTATAGTGACAACACCACCACTGCAGCAACCATCAAACACTCATACTATACCGGATGTGCCACGGGTGGTCGTCAGGGTCTACGGTCGCTTCAACTATATCCCGACGATTTCGATGGTGTCCTGATCGGTGATGCAGCTTGGCAGACCACTCACCTTCAGTCATGGTCGACTTGGGTGCCACTTCAGAACTATCCCCCAGAGTCTCCTTATCACATCACTGAGGCTCTGTTCAGCTCGCTCACCACGCGAATCACAGAGGCATGCGATGGCCAAGATGGCGTCATAGACTCGATCATCCAAGACCCTGCTAGCTGCAAAGTGGAATACGCTACGCTTCTCTGCTCATCTCCGTCCGCGAATCAGGCTGCTTGCGTAAGCGAACCTCAACTTACTACTCTACAGAAGATGCTCTCTCCCTACACGATCAATAACACGATCGTGTTTCCGGGCTTGCCATTTGGAGCTGAACTCTCCATACTTGCATCTGGAGCTAACTCCATAGGATACGGATACTTTCAAAATTTCGTCTACAATGACACCTCATTTAACTTTACGTCATATTCCGACAACGATTTTCTTACAGCGGTTCGTATCAACCCTGGCCGTGCGACAGCCGATGACTTCGATATCTCAAGCTTCAAGGAAAGAGGGGGCAAGATTATCATGTACCATGGCTATGCGGACCCCCTGATTCCAGCTGGATCAAGTATCGAGTATTTCAACCGCACTCTCGAGGCTATGCATATTGATGAATCTCAATTGTCTTCATTCCTACGGCTGTTCCTCATCCCAGGAATGAACCATTGCGTGTCTAGTGCGCCAACACAGCCAGACGCGCCATGGTATGTAGCAGCAGCATCGCAGATAGCAGGCATAGCCGGTAGATTGACCGGCGTGAGTAATGTTACGCATTCTGTTCCTGGGTACATAGATGCGAAGCACGACTCCGTTTTGGCGCTGATGAAGTGGGTAGAAGAAGGTGTGCCGCCGGATGAACTCATCGCTACGAAGTTTGTCAACGAGACGGCACCGACTGTCGAAAGTCAGAGAACGTTGTGTCCATGGCCAAAGGTGGCAAGGTTCGTTGAAGGCGATCGAAATTTAGCCGAAAACTGGATTTGCGATTAAATTCAAAAGGCTGTCGAAGATAGCTGGTTGATGTACTATTATCGGAATATAATGGCCCTGTATAAATAGATATTCTACTCGGGCAGTATGATACCTATTCTTCCAGCTCTTGTACCAACCCACTCCCGTGAAATCCCTGTATGTGGTATGAAGCACGCACTACCGAGTCCTTAATGCCAGTGCCAATTATTATCACCACTCCCTCTCCCGCCAAACTATTTACCAGATCCTTAGCTTTCTCTTTAGCTCGTCTTCTTTTCCTCGACGTTGGATTCCTAAGTCACAATCACTTGATGAGTTCGTCGAATAGTTTACTAAGTACGTAGTAGCAATATTTCAACCGTGTCTATGAGCCGGAGTATGCCACTTGCAAGTTATAGACCTGGAATCGGCGCGACATTGAGTTGGTGGGGTCACGGTTCGCGGCGACGATGACATGGTTTGCCCTTGCTAGAAAGCGTTGGACAAGATCAAGGCCATCTTTCTAGACGCCAGAGCCGCGTTCAACGTCACGACTTAACAACACTCGTCTTCCTCATACATGGTGATATGGAAGGTAAATGAATGCACTATTCAGCTACTGGGCTAACTACCTATGAGCGAGGCGAAAGGCCTGCTTATACATGATCGGATGCCTTGTGCCCCTGCATAGTACATGTGATAACTCCTTGACCTACTACACTTTTAACAGGAAAAACATGAAAAGCCCTTCTCGAAAAACACAATGAAAATAGCCGAAGGCGAGGGTAAAAAGCGAATATACTGGCTCAGGCGTACGGCTGGCCAGGGGAAATTGCCTGTTGCCTTTGCGATGGCAATCGGGGTTTGATGGACATTATTCCCTGGTGTTTCTTCCTCTCATGCCGCAATCTCGTCTCGTTCCGGAGAAAATCCGCTCCGCAGCCATATGTACAGTGATAGCGCCTGTTCTTGTGGCGAGGACCCTGGCGATGCTTCCCATAGTTCGAGGTCGTCTTATAATCTCGCTGGCACTCGTCACAAAATGTCTTCTTCACCGAAGGCACAGAGCAATGCTTGAATGTTGAGCTTGGTGAACCAAAACTGGCGGTGCTGTTGGGCGACTCTGAACTACTAGTTACTTCATTGTTAGGCGTACGCTGGACTAATTTCTCTTAGGATTGAACTCACAATCCTTGGGGCGAAGCTTTGAGACGTTTTGCCGGTCGGTCAGCTTCAAGAAACGAAGAGACATCCCCAGGTGTGGTTGCTCCGCCAGTTTCCGGAGTGTAAGATTTCCTTTGGACTTCCAAAGGTAAACCTGTAACTTTGAAGCCTAGATACGCCTGTAAAACAGAGTAGGTGTATTGCATGGTGTTGATGTACTTCCTTTCAGTGCAACGAGTTGCTAAAAGCGTTCCTAGGCCAGTAAACTATTGATGCATTAATTAGCAGATAGGATATCTTAGGTTACACACACTAACCTTGGCCTCTATGTCGCTTGCCAGAAAACCCTGTAGCTGATCTAAGCTACTAATATGTCCAGACTCGATGGCTACATCAGTGTGCTTGTGGACAGCCGCCACTTTCTCCCTCGCAAATCTACTTATTGTAGAATCGCCACTGGGCGCGGCCAGTGCAAATAAAGCTGTCGCAGCGATCTTGGTAACCTGTTGCTGG